AAAATGAATCAATAAAATAGAGTTTCTCAAATTCAATTTAACTATATATCACATGGGTGTAAATTTTAATTTTATCATGCAAATCACCTTATTTATGTATGTGTATATCAAGAATGTGCCAGAGTAGATCTTGAGGAGATGCAATGGTCTAGAAATAAGAAAATACAACAAAGGAGGACTCAACGACAAGAGACCAAGAGTCTCATTTATCTCATTGAGGGTGCGTTTAGGGTGATCATGCGGCGGTGGTGTGGTGTCGCACCTCAATTTTTTCTATTTGATAAACTATTTTTTATCTACGTTCTAAAAAAATGCTGCTAAAAGCTATGATTTCCCACCATTTATGGCTACTTACGTTAGCTTCTAGAAAGTTGTAGTCTGACTTTTTCATTTTTTTTTTTTATTAGCAACAACAAATTTTTCTCAAATAGCTCCAAACCAACTTCTTCAATCTTCAAACAACTGCAAATATTCCAAATAGTCCTTGAATGCAGTCATCCAGGCAAAAGGATGAATGCTAGCCTAGCTAAAATAATGATCTGAGTTTGAATCGATCGGACTAGAGCAAGACAAATATTCCAAATAGTCCTTGAATGCAGTCATCCGGGCAAAAGGATGAATGCTAGCCTACCTAAAAGAATGATCTGAGTTTGAATCGATCGGACTAGAGCAAGATAAACAAGCATCCGTGCTAACAGCTACCAGAAGGCCAAGGAAAAGCATGACCTACCTCTCGGTAGATCTACCCCAAGAAAAGAATCCAGTTCATCGGCATGACGAATAGTCCCATGGACATTCATGAGGTTCTTCATCAGGGCCAAAGAATTGATAACACAATAGAGCCTCACAATCATCACAATTGACTCCCTCTTCAAATAATAGGCTATCTATTTTGTTGCAATGATTTACAATCTACTCGATAGGCTAGACTCGTTCTACCGACATGAGTTTTTCATCCAAGGATCGAGATCCAACAGACACACTAGATAGATCAACTTACAAAGTTTAGTGGACCAAGTCAGTCATGCTGACCCGAAGTTAATCAAGATCAGTCGACTGATTGTACTGACTCAACCTAGTCGACCAAATCAGTCTTATTGAGCCAAAGTCGTGCTAGCCTAATGGACTGAGCCATATGACAACCGAGTAATAGACTCATTAATGTAAAATATCTAGAATGCCCTGTAAAACCCCATTAAAGTAGAGGCAGAAATGTAATATCACATATTGTACCATTTATTCTATAAATAAAGAGATCAATTTATGTGAAAAGGAATAATACACACGACGTATTATTGTTCATTTATTGTGCACCCCTCTCTGTCAATCTATTTCTATTTCTCATTTCTTATGATTTATTCTCTTGAGATGTGTTTCACGGTGGTGAATCTATATTTGTCTTGTGAGGCATGCCCTAGGATCGGAGCAGTAGAAACCTTGGGGGAGAAGTGTAGAGTCTGAGAAGAAGAAAGAATGAATGAGTACATACAGACTTCCCACGTGGAGGCAAATAGGGCATTCCCTGACTATGTAACGCATTTATATATTGTAACTTTGGTTACAAAAGAGAGAGAAGGGGAGAGAGAGATCTCTCTATAAGGGTGGATCTTAAGAAGAGTCTAAAGAGGCCAAACTCTAGAGGAAAAAAGTCTCTCATACATGCAATAGAATCCTTATTTATAGAAGATAAAGGGCCAAAATGTAAAAAAATACATGTTTGCCCTTGCTTTAATAGGATTGTTACAGAACATTATTGTCTTTTGTCATGTCTTTTCATATTTGTAGATTTTGGCATCTACATGGATCTTTTGGTCTGTAGGTCCTCGAGTCAGTCAACTATCTTATCAGGATATCAGTTGGCCTTTTCTCTGAGAAGCTGATCAGCTTTGAGATCCATAGTCGGTCGCCCTTATGGTAGTTGGTCGGCTTGCTTGTTCTTTGGTGATTTCTGGAGATCTTTGGGGGAGATTTTGAAAGAGCCTCACATTGATGCCTGTGAGATTTCAGGGGGTATTAGACCTTTGTCTGGTCGTTGGTGTGGATGTCTATTTCTAGTCGGCCTGGATGAACTTTTGATTTTCTGGCTTCCCTTCGGTCTTCTCGCTGCCCTCTGATCGTCTAGTAGACCTCCAATTGTTTGGCAGCCCTCCGGTCGTTTGATAGCCCTTGAGTTGTCTGGCTGACCTGCGGTTGTCTGACAAACCTCCGATTTTCTGACAGACCTTGGATTGTCTGAAAGACCTTCGATCATTTGACATACCTTTGGTAATCTTCCAACAGACCTTTGGTGGTCTTCTTGTAGCCCTTTAGTCATCTAACAAACCTTCTGACGTCTGATAGCCCTCCGATTATTTAGTAGATCTTTGGTTGTTTGACAACCCGTCGATCATCTGTCATCTAGCAGACCTTCAGTAATGTTAGATATGTTTAGGATCAACATGAGCACATATTTAGTGTACAAATTAAGTTCCCAAATTCTTTTACTTTTTAGAGAAGAAGTTGCGATAAGAATGAGATTTTCTTAAAGAAAAAATGTGATCATATTTTTCATTTACTCACTAATGATAACTACTCGGTTTTGACATCTTTTTGCACTCAGTATTTTTGGCTTCGAGCTGGTCTCATAATGTTTTCTATCAACTATCATGGCTTGAATGTTTGTTATTCAGTCTTTTAATCAATTGAGCTAATCTTTCAGTCATCTAACTAACTTTCAATCGGCTGACTGACCCTGAGTCAACCACATCTATCACTATGAAAATATCTTTATTTTGCTCTTTTTGCATGTAAGATAATGCATAAAAAAAAATTAGTAACTTTCTCGAATAGGAAATAAAGTGAAGGTTTTGGTTGTTTTTCGCATTTATTTTAGCATTTTACCTCTACTGCAATTTTTTTTTTTTTTGTGATAATTGCTTGGTGATGAGTGTTGGTTTTATTTGATAACTTGGACCTTCAGAAATATGGTTGGTCATTATTTGATATGTCACTACTCAACACAAGTCTTACGCGGCTTGTCTCTTTTACTTGGTCCAATTTGTTGCCTCGGTTAGCCCACAACTCTCACCAGGACTTCGGTGGATCTTGTCGATGCCTTCGCAGTGATAATCGAGAATTGTTACTGGGGTGATTTTCACTGTATCCTTCATGGAGCTTGTCTCTAATAGGCAGTAAACCATCTCTAGTGCTACGTTTATGTTGAGCTTTGTGACTGACTTTTTGATGCTTCGCGTTGTGGGTTAGATATGCTGTTAGGATGCCGATCATATGTTTATAACGTCAATGTAGTCACTTTTATTATTTTATGGTATTGTTGTCAGACTCGCATCTTACATTTTTCAATTTCTTAGTTGCATGATCGAATTATCGACTAGAATGGGACTCACATTTCGTTAGGATTTAGGCTGATCTTGTCGCTGCCTTTGTGGGGGTAACCGTCGAGACTCGCTATTAGGGTGATTTGCGTCGTACTCTTTGTGAAGCTTGTCGCTACTGGGCAGGGAACCACTTCTAGAGCTTTATCTAATCTAAGCTTCAAGACTAAGAGTTACGATGTGGGAGTGTTGTGGCCTATTTAGTTGACCAGACCTCTTTGAGGATGCTATTGGTATTGCTTCTTTGATTTAAGTCCCCCAAATGTCAAATGGACTAGGGTTAGAGAAATTTGTGTCATAACATAAGATAAGTTTTAAAATAATACTACATTTACTTGTTGGGCAAGGTGTCAGCCACCTGAAATTGTCCAAGCAATACATAGGTATGGTTGGTCGGTTGTTTTGACTGTTGGCCCGCTATCCATTTTGTGATACTCGCCTTCTAGCCAAAGCCCTTAGGAAGACAATATAAATGACATTTTGGGCTCTGGATTTGTTGTTAGATGAACTTCTTAGTGGGATCCTTGTTAAGAAGGTCTCTGAGGTGCATTTCTTCTCATTGGTCTCGCTTCCTTTCTTATTAGCAGCATGCTTCATGCTCACTGCAATTTTTATGATGTTGAATCTAGATTTGTCTTGTGAGGCATACTCAAGGATCAAATTGATATGTAGCTTGAGGGAGAAGTGAGAGAGAGACAAAAAAGAAAAAACGAATGAAAGAGCATGTAGAGACTTGCCACGTATGAGAAAACGAAGTATTTGCGAGCTCTGTAACCTGTTTTATATATTATAACAGAGGGTTACAAAAGACAGAAAAGGAGAAAGATTTCCCCCTACAAGAGTGGGTCTAGAGAGGAGACTAAAGAGGTCGAAGCCTAGAGAGGCAAAAAGTTACACATACATGCTTTGGACCTCCTATTTATAGAAGAAAAAGGGTCAAGTATATATTTGTCCTTACTTTAATAAGGGCGTTATAAAACATTATTGTCTTTTTTCGTGCATTTTGTATTTGTAACAAATTTTAGAATCTTTTTTTGTACTTGGACATTTTGGTCGGCAGGTCTTCGAGTCGGTTGGTTATCTTATCTGGAAATCGGTTGCCATTGCTCTTGAAAGCCTGCCAGCTTCGAGAGCAGGCTTTCGAGAGCGGGTAGTCAGTTGGCCTTTAGGTAGCCAATCAGCTTGCTTGTTTATTGGCGATTTTTGAAGATCTTTGGGGGAGTTTTTGAGGGAGTCTCACATTGATACTTGTGAAATTCTAAGGGTACTGGACCTTTGTCGGATTCTCTTTCGGTTGGCTGGCAGACCTACATCATCTAGCAGCCCTCTGGTCTCCTAATTGACTTCCGGTCATCTAACTGACCTTCGGTCTTTTTCTGGCAAACCTCCCATAGACCTCCGGTCATCTTGCAACCCTCCCAAAGACCTCCGGTCATCTTGCAACCCTTTGATTGTATGACAACCTTTTAGTCATGTTACAGACCTGCGGTCATCTGGCAGACTCGGTACCATTAGACCTCTTTAGAGTCGTATAGACACATTTTTAAAATATAGATTCAATATAATGAAAATATATTTTTGACTCTTTAAAAATAAAAATAGTGTTACTATGTAATGCCCCGAAATTAGGAATAAAAGCCCCCGTGTCGGTCTACTTTGCTTCGACCAAACCGAAACCGTCTCCGCTTCGCGCCGTTCGTCGTCATCTATGCCGCCATTCTGGTTCGCCGCCGGCGATCCAGTTTCCATGCCGTTTGCCACAGTCCTTGAGCTTGATCGCTGCGCATTCTTTACCCTCTCACTCTGCCCCCATCATCGACGTGCCGCCGCAAAAGCCCTCGTCTTCGCTCGTTTCCCCTCGGCGCGCCACCTTCACCCTTCCCTACTCCGCTCCCGCCGCTTTTACTCCGCATTCGTCTCTTCCGCCGGTGGTAACCAATTGGATTCCAACAAGCACAAACCTGTGACAATTGAGGCATTCTCTTTTCCTTCAATCATTGCGTTCTCTTCTTCCTTATTTTCCTACAGGAGTTGGTATTAGGGTTGTGATTTGGGTTATATACAGGCGGCGGAGGCATTGATCATCGAGCCGGAGCAGCAGAAGGATGGAGGCCAACTACGTAAGCGAGTGTTTTCCGGGCTCGCTATTGGGATTGGAGGTGGCGGCGTTGTGGTGGCTGGAGGGTGGGTTTTCACTGCTGTTGTGGCTGTTGCTGTATTTGCTGCTGCTCGTGAGTACTTCGAGCTGGTGAGAAGCCAGGGGATCGCTGCCGGGATGACGCCGCCTCCCAGATATGTGTCAAGAACTTGCTCGGTTATCTGTGCTTTGATGCCTGTGCTCACAGCGTCAGTTTCTGGTTTCTATATAATGACATGCAATAGCAAAAAAAAAAAAAAAAAAAAAAAAAAAATATTAACCACAATATATGAACCATTTTGTAAATTTTCCAAATACTTTTGAAGTGCCTTATTGATATAGCAATGGTAAAGTTAGCAATGAAATTCGAGCGTTTGAGGGCTAATACGAAATTAATTTAAAAATATAAATTTTTTTAACAAGTTTTTGCATAATATAAGGAGAACTGAACTTTTGGTAGCTGCAATTTGTGAAACTGTTATTTTTGAATTTCAGTTTATAAAAACTAGGTAAATCATTCTATTTAAGGTTCATAAACATAAACAAGATGCTTACTCAATAGACAATTGGGAAGTCAGCACTGCATTACATATTTGGAGGCAATTGATGAATATAAGGGTTTGATTGGGGCAATTATTATTTTATGTAATGTTAGTTTTAAAATTTTTATAGGAAAACATTTTGCTAAAGCGGTTGTTGTTGTTTGGAAATCTATTTATCAGGTTGTTCTATTTAAATAGAAATTTAAATGTTGTTGTTTAGGTTTTTATGCTACTATTGCATCTGTATTAATAACATAGATGCCTTTATGCTCATTAATGCTCATAAAGCAATGTTAATAATAACCAAAATTACTTTTTTTTTGAAATAGAAAGCCAAAAATTTGATAAATTTGATAATTCAAAAATATTTACAACTTAATGAAAATATAGTTTTTAAATTTTATTTTTCAGTAGTAAATGATTTAAAATATGTAATTTTGCCTTTCCCTCAAAATTAATTCAATGTTCAAGAAAAGCTAGTAATTTGAATTTAAAAAGTAAGCTCGCATTGAAACATTAATTTGGAATTTGAGGAAATGATATGAATATTATTGCCACACCTTGCTCCATGTACAAAAGGATTCTCTATTATTGTTGTCATAAAAAATTTGAGTCCTTGAAATGCGTCACTAGAGTTTAAGTTGTGTTGATAAGACACTACTATTGGAGATTCGAGTTGAAACTATAAGGAAGGTGTTGGACCTTTTTTTTTGTCATCATTAGAGCATCTCAAGGGAGAGAAAGAGAGGGATGGGTGTCTGTGGAGGTGCTGATAGAGTTTTTAGTAGAGCTTTGAGTCATAAACATAAGAGGAGCTATACGAGAAAGCTAGGGCATAATTGATTTATATCCCATACAATTTTGGTGAAAACATATAACTAAAATTTTATCGAAAAAATTAGACACAATGAATGACAGTTCTAAAATGCTCAAGTGGTAAGACTCATTTCTCGCTTTTCATAATTTTCTCAGAATTTGAGAGCTAAACAAATCAATATAAGATTGTTGCATTGTTTCATAAAACTATGCAGGTAAATGATGTCTGAAATAGACCTTCAAATTTTAATTGTGATTGATTTGAAACACATGTCTACATGAATAAAGAGTTATCTTTCATTCTCATCTTGTCAATTTTGGTTGGGCGATATAATATGCTCCCAAAAGGCAAAAGTGTGATATTTCGCAGAACTACTGATAAATTTTGTATATTTTTGTTGCAAATAAGAGCTCGAATTCATTCATATTTTCAAAAATATCTAATTAAAAATATAGAATGGGCATGTTTATAAATGAAGTGATTTATTGGCATATGGATTGGTTGGATATGTATCACATAGCCACCAAATGGACTGCACTTCTCCATACATCCTACTAATAATATTTGCTGTTGGTGTATAATTTCCTTTTGCAAGTTCCCCCAATTGGTGTCTTTCAAAATATTTCTTCTTAATGTTTTTTCTCTATCAAATTTCTAGGTATTTTGGTCACATAGATGTATCTGTGACATCTTCTGCATTCTTAGTTGCAATGGCGTTGATTTGTCAGAGAGCAATTCCTCGATTTTCTCAACTAAGTAGTACCATGTTTGGATTGTTCTATTGTGCATATCTTCCTTGTTTCTGGGTTAAGCTTCGTTGTGGTCTGGCGGCCCCTGCATTGCATACAGGTAAGTTTTTATGCTTTCACGTTGATCTATTTTTATTAAATGGAATAATGGCTCAGTTAATTTCTATTGTTGTTTTATTAATTGTTAAAATGTTTGATTTGTTAATAATACTAATAATAATAATAATAATATATTATTATTATTAGTATTATTATTATTATTAAATCAAACATTTTAACAATTAAATTACATGTAAATGCTAAGATAAACTGTAGAACAAAGCAACACATAATACCTATAAAGAAGCGTGCACCAAAGCACCATAAGAAGCCACAAACATCAAATATCAAAAAATAAAAAAAATCAACCGCGAGTATTCATAGCATTAGTTGTACTAATAAGTTCATCGTTTAAAGGCTCCTAAAGTCTCAAACAAACACAAGATCTTTAGAATTTGAGATTGTGATAAACTAGCCGATCCACCCTTACAATCCAACCAAAAAAGTTTTTATTTATAAATAACTAGAACAATAAAATAAAATACATTAAGATATCTAACAAAGCAAGCTTTTATTTATAAGAAAAACTTACAAGTTGAAAGTTGGAAGCTCACTTTGGAAGCACCAATCACACTCTTACTAAATACTACATCACAAACTTAATCTACTTCGGAGGGCAAAAGACACCTATTTATAATGCAAATTAATGGGCTAAACTTCAAAAACACAAATTTTTTATTTATAAAAGGTCATAAGAAAGAATCATTTGATATGAAACGAAATGAAAACAAATAAAGAAAAAGAAAGGAAATCATTTGCTTTTAGAATAGCCTCGATTGACATATGTTGACATTAGGCATCTTCTTTTTACAAACCAATGGAATTTTCTTATATAAAGTAAGCTTGGCTCTCACTTTCATTTTTTAAGTTAGTTTATCATATATTCCATTATAATAAGTGCTTCCTTAAATTGGGAGTTAGCATTTTCATATTCCTTTGATGAATTTTCTTTAGCTAAGATCTACTTATGTTTATTTTTAATGAAATTTTCTTTACCGATTGCTCTAGATGTTATCTCTTATGTTAACTATTTCATATATGCTCATTTTCTCTTTCCTTAATCTTAAGCTTTATATATAATCATAACTAAATGTATTTTCTTAATTTAATCACTATCCTCTTTGAAAGACTTCTAGATTTTATATAATTATAATATGCCTCAATAATATTTTTTTTTCCCACTCTTTAAATGCTATTTTTTTCTTTTATTACTTTCCGTACCATCTCACTATATCACTAAGTCTCTTAACTGATGCACAATCTATTTGTTTCTACATTCTACGATGTACCATGATCGTTCTAATGAAAATAGTCATCTTATCACAATTTTGGTTTTGCTCGGTTAATGAATTCCAATTGACCTCTCGTAGCATATTATTGTGAAAGTCATTAAGCTTTTCATCTTTGAAATTCTAGCATCTTTTAATGAAAATTTTATTTGTTTCTAAAGTTTTTTTATATTCTTTTTACATTCATAACTGTTATTATTTTTTGTGTGGTCAGATATAATCTCATCAATGTTTTCATTCTTTTCAAGTAAATGGAAGTCTATTTGTGATTAAGTAGCTCCACTTTTGAAAGTTATTAAGTGCACTTCTCATTGCTTAAAACTGTATTTATTATTATAAGATTATAGGCTATTACAAAATCTAGCTTGTCCTATTACATTTTTATTTATTTATTCGTTTCATTCATTGATCCTTTCACATCCTATCTTATTAGAGCGTAATATTTACTCAAATTAAGCCAAATAAATCCCCTTTCTTCCTGTAACCAAATAACTTTATCATATTTTCTTACTTTACATTTGCTTATCTTTATTTTAAATCTACCAAATGGTTTAACCGGTTTGCTTAGCTGACTTGGTTGAGCTAGCTTAACTTATGCCCTTACCAAACATTTCTAAGTGAGTATTTGTGATCATCTTTTGTTTTTGTTTTTATTTTGTTTTGTTTGTGTTTTATATGAAATAAAAATATATTTGATATCTTATATATGTTGTTTATGCATGCATGCATGCATACATATATATATATATATATATAATTTTTTTTTTGAGAAAACCCAAGGACTAATATATTAAAAGAAAATAAAGATACATATAGATTGTATCAGAGGGCCCAAGCATGACACCCTACCCACACGGTAAACACCACATGCAAATGGTTCCAGATAAAAAAAAATACAGAAAAATACATGAGAGCCTCAAAACCGAAAGTGTCAAAACACGTAGTATCAGAGTAGCTAGAGAACGACCAAATTTTGCTCTGCCTCTGTCTCTAGTTCTAGGAAGGAGTCAGCTAACAAATTGGTAAGATGAGTACCATTGCCAGTAGTAACCAATATATCGTCCAATAAATTTCTGAGCTCAAGTCGACCTCCATTCTTTTTCTTCCTCCTGGAATAGACTTGACATTCTTCATCCGAAGACTGATTCATCTGATCAGTGAATTAATTTAAAGTGTGTCAGACATGTGTAGATTGTTGAACATCGGAAGCGTCTACTTGTTGTACCGACTGATCTTTTATTGGATCAAATGAGCACTCTCGTGTGTCTTGTCATGTAAGTGAGTCTTCTTCAATAACAATGAGTGAACAACAACAAAGCCTTAATCCCAGTACTAGTAGTATGAGAAGATGTTTCATGAGATTCCAGGGTACCATGCTTCTATCCATCAGCTGGAAAAGAATGTTCAAAAGAGGGAGCATCTAGGGGTAGTACGGCTTGGGTATGTTGTTTTTCATCTGAGACAATAAGGGTTTGAATAGGAGGGTGATCAGAAAATTTCTCATCAAGATCAGTGTCTGCGGTGTTGGAAAGAGGGTCGGGTTGCACCTCCTCAGCAGGGATGGTAGGTGGCAAGACGTCCACCCCCAATCCAGTATGAATAAATTTTTGAACAGGTTGCTGATTTTTAGCAATATCCAACCTTAGATGAGGATGCAAACGATAACAAATAGTAGAAGTGTGACCAAACATACTACAATGAGAGCAATAATGAGGGTGTGGTTCTATTTCAACATTTTGCTAATACCGTTGTGAGTCGATCCATTCCATACCTCATCTGGAGCTAGTTGGGTGATATCTCTCTCAACTAACACACAAGCCACAGAGAGTCTGGTGACAACAAGCGTAGGACTATCAACCTTGAGAGGCTTACCGTAAGCAGTTGCTAAAGATTAGAGAATTTCTAAGTTAAACACGTGTAGTTTTAACCCTAGAAACTTTATCCAAACAGGAATGATATGAGACTCCGCTTTTGGATCAAAGTCGACAGTCCACTTCAGGATTTTCATAAAACGGTTGTCAACCTTGCTTACCTTTCGAGAAAAAAATATGAGTGTAATCCGCATCGTGAGATAGTTGAATAAGTATATGTCGACCGTCAAGTAAGCCAATATTCCAACTACCCGATAGCTTTATAGCATCAAAATCTTTCCGAATGATCTCAAGTTTAGGGTGACCATAAATAGATTTCCCAGCTAGAGCAAAATGCCAAGAAGACGCAAAAGTATTAGTTTCAACCTCAGAGAGAAAAAAGAGCAGGCTTTTTATTTTTTTACCAAGCTTTTTAATGAAAATGTAATTACCAGCACCTTGAAGAGCCTTGTGAAAGGATTGTGGAACAATACAGGATTTACCGATACCAAAACCAGGCTCAAAACCTGAAATAAGGGCTTGAGTAAGATTAAGATTGTCGCCGGCAAGGGCAGTTACATAGGAACGGAGCGTCGATGTCATCTCCACCAGGCAAGATGACCACGACCAGAGTCTGGAGCGGCGTGGAGAGCCGCATCAATCTGCGACCCGAGGAAGGAGACGAAGTGCGAGGACAAATGACGTAACCAAACCTTGTATTAGGAACGAAAGATGACGTTTTGCGAGCTTTCTGCAAACGCCGACGAGGCAATCAGAAAAGGAGAAGGAAAAGGAAAAGGAAAAGGCTGGGTGCGAGCGGACAGACGTCGTTGTTGTTTTCGGATAATGCGACCAGACAGACGTCGTCGGGCTGGAGAGACGACCTGCTGTTGACCTCATTTTTGAGGTCATTTCTTTTTCTAGGATTTAGCTCTAGGAATTCCTACTGACCATCCTAGAAAAACTAGAATTGAGACCCACCCTTTTAGAAATTCCAGCCACTTCCTATTTTTCTTTGATGTCTAACATTTATGGCACAAGACCATCATCTTATGAACGAGCAGTTATGGGCTATTTTGTGAAGACTCAAGGGAAAAGTTCCCAATAGGACTTCAAGCTTTAGGAAAACATCGTCACGATTTTTTCGTCATATACACACACAAAATACACAAAATTCACAAAATTGCACGAAATCGAACTTCAATAAGCCTAAATGACGGATGAAAATGCGAACTTCTCCGGATGACCTCCGATGACAAATTGGACTG